CCCACCGCTTGACAAATAAACAGGGAGTTAGAGCTAAAGAACCCCACCGCTTGACAAATAAACAGGGAGTTAGAGCTAAAGAACCCCACCGCTTGACAAATAAACAGGGAGTTAGAGCTAAAGAACCCCACCGCTTGACAAATAAACAGGGAGTTAGAGCTAAAGAACCCCACCGGTTTTCTATTGTATACAGACATTGAAAACCGTATTTCCTGTTAATTGATGTTGTTTCCTCTAATTTTTAAGACAAACAAATATTTTAAGGGAGTTGGGAACATTTTGAAAGTACTCCCATTGATGTTAGACTTTAAATACTCAAAAGTATAAGTGCAAGTATAAACTCAAAAGTTGTGGAAAAGAAAATTGTACAAATGGTTAAAGAGTGGGGATCTTGTTTTCAAGTCATGATTTTAAGGAAGCACGGTGGTCTAGTGGTAGGACGCCGGGCTCGTCACTGAAGGGTTGCAGGTTCGAGTCGGGTTACGGCACAATGTTGTATCGTTAAGCAAGATACCTTGCTCCGCTTGTTCCAGTCTACTCAGTTGTAAATAAGTATGTGGTTTGGCAGTGCTAGAATTGTAGAACGCTAGCTGTGAGTGCTGAAATGGCAGCACTGGCTGTATGCTCCCCAGGGAGCTGAGAAAGACATTGGCTGGTTGCAAAGGCCCTATAACCACGGATAATAATTTGTGAACGCTTTGGTACGACCTACAAACTAGGTTGTGATAAAGTGGTTTATAAGAAACTCTTATTATTATTATTATTTAAGAAGTCAGCAAGCCAGAAATCGGTAGGCTTAGATCTGAAATGAACTGACCTCTGGAAAATTTGGCATGTGTATATCGAGGGGTGTAGACATGCCGGACTGAAACTGAAATGCTGACCATCGCTAATTTGCAATATTTCTGTATAAAGCAAAGTGGAATCACATGTATATTGTAAAAGAACACTAATCTTGATATATTGTTATTTATTTGTCACAAAACTCTGAAACTACATTTAAAGCTCTGCCTATAAGTTCGGCACAATTCCATTCCAAGTGCATTTGTTCATCACAAAAGATTTTTGTGCCATCTGAACCGTTTCAAGTAGGATATGTGAAAACAACCTTTGTTATGACCCAGGGATTGAGTCCCAAGGTTTGGGGACGGAACTCTGTGCAAATCCTGGTAGTGTTTGTCTTTTGACCCCCATCAAATTTTAATTTTCTGTTTATGGCCCCTCTTCCCCTCCTATTGAGTCTTGGCCCTCTACCTCTCCTATTGGGTCCAGCCCCTCTACCCCGCATGTTGGGTCTGACCCCTCTACTCTTCCTATTGGGTCTGGCCCCTCTACCCGTCCTATTGGGTCCGACTCCTGTACCCCTCCTATTGGGTCTGGCTCCTCTCCCCCTATTGGGTCCAGCCCCTCCAGCCCGCTTATTGGGTCTGGCCCCTCTACCCGTCCTATTGGGACCGACTCCTGTACCCCTCCTATTGGGTCTGGCTCCTCTACCCCTCCTATTGGGTCCAGCCCCTCCAGCCCGCTTATTGGGTCTGGCCCCTCTACCCGTCCTATTGGGTCCGACTCCTGTACCCCTCCTATTGGGTCTGGCTCCTCTACCCCTATTGGGTCCAGCCCCTCCAGCCCGCTTATTGGGTCTGGCCCCTCTACCCGTCCTATTGGGACCGACTCCTGTACCCCTCCTATTGGGTCTGGCTCCTCTACCCCTCCTATTGGGTCCAGCCCCTCCAGCCCGCTTATTGGGTCTGGCCCCTCTACCCGTCCTATTGGGACCGACTCCTGTACCCCTCCTATTGGGTCTGGCTCCTCTACCCCTCCTATTGGGTCCAGCCCCTCCAGCCCGCTTATTTGGTCTGGCCCCTCTAACCCTCCTATTGGGTCTGACCCCTCTAACCCTGCTATTGGGTATGGCCCCTCTAACCCTGCTATTGTGTCTTCCCCTCTAACCCTGCTTTTGGGTCTTGCCCCTCTAACCCTGATATTGGGTCTTGCCCCTCTAACCCTGATATTGGGTCTTGCCCCTCTAACCCTCCGATTGGGTCTGGCCCCTCTAACCCTCCTATTGGGTCTTGGCCCTCTACCTTTCCTACTGGGTTTGGCCCCTCAACCCCTCCTATTGCGTCTTGGCCCTCTACCTCTCCTATTGGGTCCAGCCCCTCTACCCCGCATGTTGGGTCTGACCCCTCTACTCTTCCTATTGGGTCTGGCCCCTCTACCCGTCCTATTGGGTCCGACTCCTGTACCCCTCCTATTGGGTCTGGCTCCTCTACCCCTCCTATTGGGTCCAGCCCCTCCAGCCCGCTTATTTGGTCTGGCCCCTCTAACCCTCCTATTGGGTCTGACCCCTCTAACCCTGCTATTGGGACTCGCCCCTCTAACCCTGCTATTGGGGTTGGCCCCTCTAACCCTGCTATTGTGTCTGGCCCCTCTAACCCTGCTAGTGTGTCTTGGCCCTCTAACCCTGCTATTGGGTCTGGCCCCTCTAAACCTGCTATTGGGTCTTGCCCCTCTACCCCTGCTATTGGGTCTGGCCCCTCTAATCCTGCTATTGGGTCTTGCCCCTCTTACCCTGCTATTGGGTCTGGCCCCTCTAATCCTGCTATTGGGTCTTGCCCCTCTTACCCTGCTATTGGGTCTGGCCCCTCTAATCCTGCTATTGGGTCTTGCCCCTCTTACCCTGCTATTGTGTCTTTCCCCTCTAACCCTTCTATTGGGTCTTTCCTCTCTAACCCTGCTATTGGGTCTGGCCCCTCTAATCCTGCTATTGGGTCTTGCCCCTCTACCCCTGCTATTGGGTCTGGCCCCTCCAACCCTGCTATTGGGTCTTGCCCATCTAACCCTGCTATTGGGTCTTGGCCCTCTAACCCTGCTATTGTGTCTTCCCCTCTAACCCTGCTTTTGGGTCTTGCCCCTCTAACCCTGATATTGGGTCTTGCCCCTCTAACCCTCCTATTGGGTCTGACCCCTCTAACCCTGCTATTGGGGTTGGCCCCTCTAACCCTGGTATTGGGTCTGGCCCCTCTAACCCTCCTATTGGGTCTGACCCCTCTAACCCTGCTATTGGGTGTTGCCCCTCTAACCCTGCTATTGTGTCTTGGCCCTCTAACCCTGCTATTGTGTCTTTCCCCTCTAACCCTGCTATTGTGTCTTGGGCCTCTAACCCTGCTATTGGGTCTGGCCCCTCTAACCCTGCTATTGGGACTTGCCCCTCTAACCCTCCTATTGGGTCTGACCCCTCTAACCCTGCTATTGGGTCTTGCCCCTCTTCTCCTAGGTGGCTCATCCTTGTTCCATACAACAACAAGTCACATTAGACCAGTGATGTTCCAATCAGAAAGTTGTTTCAATTATGATCTTTCTTTCATAAGGAGTTGGCTTTCAAAGGAAGAAATTGACAGATGGATGGACAACAGACTCTAGTGTTAACTCTCTTGTCACTCAGTCAAGGGAGATAACTAAAAGATAACTCACCTTGTGAGGGAGTATATGTTCTAAATCCTCCTTTTTCATGCCAGACTTCTCAAGTTCTGCTCGTGCAACAGCAGTCGTCTTACCCATCATCAGGGCCTCTGTTTGAGCGAGGAAGTTAGCCTGTAATATCTACAACAGATACAAGAGATACAACAGATACATCATCAGTGCCAAACACGAGGCTTGCAGAGTGTTGGCAACTTAAGAGTCTTTCTCCCGAGGGTTGAGATTTCTCAAGAGGTGAAGGGTTTGTTTTCTCTTGTCCTGTTGACCCTGTCATATACATAAAGCAAAGCTAATGTTACAGCTCAATGCATTGTTGACATGATGTTGATGCATTTTAATCGTGATGTCATATAGTTGTTATGAATGGGTGAATCCCCATGTCTGATGTTAAAACAACTCTGGTATGTGTTAAAACAACTCTGGTATGTGTTAAAACAACTCTGGTATGTGTTAAAACAACTCTGGTGTGTGTTAAAACAACTCTGGTATGTGTTAAAACTCCTGTTTATGATAAAGTGTGTTAATATGTCTCATTTTAACAACACAAGAAATATTTCCTGACTTAATGAAAACATTTTGTTGTTATTAAGGTCAGTGAGACTACAATCACAATTATACCTGATGATGCAAGCCGTTCTGTTCAGGGTTCTGTGTGTGCACTGGCATCAGGAAGTCACAGGGGATCAACCGGGTACCTGGAAAATAGACATCACCAACTGTAATGTACACAGATATAGGCTAGGTTTGTTGTGCAAGTACTGATCCATCAGTACCCTAAGGTAATACATGGCTACACGGTGGAAATAAACAAGAGGCCCAGAGGGCCTGTATTGCTCACCTGGATATCTAAGCAATCATGGCAAAATATTCTCCAAATGAGATCCAAGGGAATATGCCAGACCCCAAGGCCAATCCTTGTAGCATATCTGTATTTGATTTTTTATGCCCAGCAATTTTATGTATGGTTATGGGGTGGGGATCTCAACTGTTTCCAAGCTGTGACTCAGAAACTAGGTCCCTAGGGTTGTGGCCAGACCCCAGGATCAATTCTAATATCATGACTGC